TCATTTTGGCTAATAATTGCATGTCAAGAATAGAGGAACCCTTCATGGAAAAGGTAAGATTGACACCAAAACTGTTAGTTAGATATATGGATAACGTCTTTGCCATATGGCAGCATGGCAAGGATAGATTAGATAATTTCTTGTTTTTAATTAACGAGATTGTTGGCAATATTAAGTTTATAATGGAGATGGAGGTCAACAATACTTTACCATTTTTAGATGTCTTAGAGATCAGAGCAGGTGAGAAGTTAAGCAGGGATAGCCAACACATGCCGGCTTTATACATAACTTTTTCCCCAATCATAGTTGCGAAACAAATGTTGGAGCTTCAAAATCTATTATTATTTGGAGCATAAGGCTAGCCGATATAGACCATTGTGACAATGAACTGAATCGGCTTAAAATAATATTTGTGACAATAATTATCCCCTAGGCCTGATTAAAAATAATATTAAATTAATAAAGAATAGCTTTTTGAATGGTAAATATGTAAGGAAAGATAAGAAGACCTTTTCTCATATTTTGTCTTTACCTTCGTGCGTTCTCTCTAAAAGGATAGGTAGACAAGTAAGGAAGTCGGGAGTAAAAACGGTCTTCAGTTATGCCCACTTTTAGAGAGAAAGTTGACTCATTATCCAGATCGGGTTGATACAAAATAATGTGTCCATGTAGTCGTTTTTATGTTAGAAAGACTTGTCGTTCCATTCAGCAAAGGCTGGCTGAGCACATAAACGCCTGCTTTTGGGTTCAAAAATCGGAGCTTGCTGAGCACAGGACAGTAACGGAACACGAGATTGAATAGTCTCAAACTTGTCGTTTTGTTGATTATGGTATGTTTGTGGTTAAACGTAAAATTTGAGAAGTCATAGAAATAAACCGAATAGAAAATACATTAAATGTAAGGAATACTTGCAAGAAGATAAGTAAAAATTATTTGTGCTTAATTAATAGACTGAAAGAGAGGGAGTTGTTCCGCCTGCAAAGAGGAGGCAACCCAACTAGTCTTTTCTTGTCTTAGTTTTAATCATTGTCACTTCTCTTTACTTTTAGCTGAATTTCTCTCTCTCGCGTTGAGACCAAAAACAAAAAATAGGCTCATCAACAAAACCGGACTTGTGTCCGACTTTGTGCAATCGGAGTGATGGTTATAACGTGTTTGTAAAAAGGGAGAGATAGGGGTCATCAAACCTTGATGGCCAAAAACAGACGTTCCTTTTTGCTGTCCTAATTAC